CACGAATAGGAGTGTTTGCTGAGGGAGTTCTTAAAGGACCCCACGAGGTATATCCGCGATGCGGGAGTATTGAACGAAATACACGCATCATCTCATTACAAGAGGATCGGGAATGATCTAAGGAATAAAGTGGTTTTTGATGAAGATGTACGCAAGCTTGAGGAGAATGGTGTAAATACCCTAATCGACTGGCTAGAAGCTGCTGCGGGGGTAAAGGCAGGTGTTCATGGCATCACTAAGGTTTCTTTGGATCCATTCCTTGAAGACGTGAGGAACTCAATGAAGATGAGTGCATCGAATAAACTGGAGGGGTTCTACGAGTCTGTGTACAATGCGAGGTGGAGCCATTTGGTGGAAGTTCCTGACGGCGAGGGGACGGGAATGGAGGTGAAGAAGGGGAAACCACCACAGCCATGGACGTACAAGGCAGTTGGCAACACCTTCGAAAAGGATGATGGTGCGCAGCAGTCCGGTGCACCGCGTCTCAGGCTGATGGTGCTCACCTCGGACAAGGCATGGCCGTGCACGTGGAATCGGAAGGGGGTGGAATCCACTTGTGACTGCTACGTGAACTGTGAGGTGGAGCGAGTGTGGCAGATTGTCAAGGGCGATCTGACCGAGTGGTCCAGCCCTGACGCTGGGGACCTACTTTACGCCCGAGCGGCGTGTGTTGATTGGGACGCCCGGGATCGGGAAGTCGATGAATGCCGGCTCGTACCTCCTCTACCAGCTGCTGCACTGCGATGTCGAGAAACTCCAAGTGGTTGTTTACTTTATTGCGGATCGAACATTCCTGTTTGACAAGACCAGCAGGACGGTGTCGACGTACATGAGCGACTCCAGTAATGCGTCTTTTGTGAGGAGTCTGTCTGACCGTGGGGTGAAGGGGTATATTATCCACGATTTGGCAGAGCCGGATGATGCACCGTCTGGTGATTTGCCTCCCAGGGGATGGGGCATGGTTTTGTTGTCACCCCCACTCGAGAGGAACTACAAAGAATGGGTGAAGCGGAGGGATGCCACAACAATACTTATGAATTGCCCTGGTGAAAGCGATGTGAAGGCGATGTGCGTTTGGATGAGGCGCCATCAGCCCGTGCGGGAGCAGGCGGAGCACTGGCAGGTGGTGAAGGGCCAAATGGATGAGGTGGGACCTATTCCACGTTATATCTTTGACGAGCGAAAGTATGATAATTGGGTTCAACGGTGTCACAAGACCGTCGATGAGGCGACCTCTTCTGTAATCCTGCAATGCATTGGTTTGGGACTTGGTGGATCCTGGGATCGTATGAAGGTGCTCTACTGGCTTGCGAGGGTTATCCGAACAAGAGGTGAAAAGTTTGGTTTTGAATTTTTTTCCAATTTACCGGTGTCTGCTCACCTCGGAAATAAAACATTATTCAAGTCGGCGAAGTTAATGCAGCAGCGTGATTTTAATTTTCTCATATCGGGGCTGAGGGATTATCTCACATCAGAAAATTTTGGAAGGTGCACCGTGTTTGCATTTTTGAATGGATCTTTTGTGAGTGCAATAGAGCGCGGACTGAGGGAGCTGAGGCCATCACCACAACGTCAGTCCCACCGCTGTGCGCTGGCGGTGTACTCACAGGAGGGCTCCACCAGGCACCATTTCTTACCGCCACTGGAACACTTTTCTGAGAGGATTGATGTGGAGTGCGGGGTGCTGTACGTAACGGAGGTGGAGAACTTTCCGCTGGTGGACGGCTTTTTCTTTGTGAAGTCAAATCCAATGACGCTGGTTGGGCTGCGGATGGCTGCGGCGGGTGGGCATCACACCACCGCCAGCACTGTGCGGCAGTTCAATGAGTGCCTGGCGGCATATTTTAAGGGTTGGGAGGAGTTATCCCGAGAACTGTCGTGGGAGATGATTTACGTGCAGCACGCAGACAGCACGCCGATGAATGACTGGCAGGGATGTGATGTCGTCGACTCCAATAATGTGAGCGGCGCGGACAACAATGAAATTGCGGCGTTCTGGAACGAAAAGGTACGCCAGTACCAAGTGTCAATATCATCCAGAGACGCCCCACGAAGGTCTTAGAATTGAGGAGTAATTAAAGGAATGAATAGGGAAACAAATTGGTGAATTGCGGGGGTGGTTTGAGTTCTGGTAACAAATATAGGGGCTTTTTTCATGTGGTTGGATGCCTGTGTGTGCATACAGTGCAGATTCACCAGCATCAGGCGGCAGCATCACACACGGATGCGGAAAATGTCCAACGCGAGCGATCGTAACAGTGAACGAAGAAGAGATTATGGAGGGAACGGGGT